TGCGTGTAATGGTGAGAGGTGGAGAGCTAGGGCGCTGCATGTAATGGTGAGAGGTGGAGAGCTAGGGCGCTGCATGTAATGGTGAGAGGTGGAGAGGGAGGGCACTGTCTCCCTTCTGGGTGCATGCTGTGGGCCATGGGGGAGCAAGGTCTGTGGATGAGGGAAGAACACAGCGGTTAAAAAAAAAAAAGAGGAGTGAAAGTAAACTCTCTCGGAAATCCTTTGGAAGTGATACAGAAAGCAACATCTTCCTGAATGGCTTCCTGTGTCGCTTCCTGGCAGCTCTTCACGGCTGCCAGCTTCCGCGCTGCACCCTCTGCCCCGAGCGCCGCTGTCGGGAGCGGGGTCAGGCAGGCGGAGGGGGGTCACAATGCTCAGCTCGGCCTGCAGCATGGCACTGCCCTCCGCCTGCAAGGCCCCTGCCAGGTTGCACGTGCAATGAAAGGGACCGATGAACAACTTCTGAGGCCAGCTGTTTGCGCCGGGGCAGCGGTTCTGCTCGTGCAGTGTGCCAGGCCTCTTTCCGGGGAGATCTGGGAGCAGCTTTCCAGGCCAAATGAAAGCCGGGGTGCCTGCCCCATCCCCTGCAAGTGAGGGCAGCTGAGCCCTCACTCAGCTCCTTAAAACTGGAGCCTGAGCACCCTGGGCAGGGGAACCAGGCCTTGTCTCAGGAACCAAGCGTGTGACACTAGCCCCGGACACAGGAGGTGCCGAGTCTGCGTTCCTATTTCTTTTGGCCCCCCCGGACTGTTCCCCTACAGTTCGTCTCCCCCCATCATACACTCACCTGCGAGGAGAAGGAGCAGGAGGAAGGGTCCCCTCGGAGCCGGAGGAGGCATGGTGACGGGGCTCAGCTGCCCTGCGCGCCACGTCCTGTCAAAAGCAACCTAGAATGAGCGCAAAGATCCTGGGACCAAAGCGGATCCCTCAGGTCACCTGGGGCCGGGCTGGCAGCGTGGCAGGACCCGCTCCCAAGCATGCAGACGGGGCCGTGGCAGCCAAGGAGAAACCCAGGCGGGCCGTGTGCCCGGCTGCCAGGGCTCTGCGCTGGGATGCTCCCAGTCCTGTCCAGCTTTCCAAGGCCCCGGTCAGCTGAGACCGCAGCACTAGGCAACCTTTGCTTTATCTCTTGCTCTCGGCGAGCCGGCCCCGCTTTCCTCACTCTGGATCCGCTCCGCGGCCGTCTCCGGCCAGCGGGGCTTTCACCGCGTCTTTCCATGAGTCGCCTCCCGTGTTGCTCATCCCTGTTTGAAAGCTCACTTGCTTTGAAGTGTCCTGGCTGGAAGGCCCTGTCTTTGCTCGCCCACACTTCTCCGCCTCTTAGCTTCTCCTCCCTTTGCTCCCAGGGGTGGGTGGCAAGGCTGCTTGGGAAATGAGTTGGTTTTCCCTGGAAAAAGTCTACCTTTGTTTGGTGGGAAATGCTGAAAAAATGTCGGATTTGGGCTTTTCTAACTCCCCCACCTCAAAGCTGAAAGCAGGCACTTCAGACACCCAGTTGTCCCCTCCGAAATAGTTTCCGTAGAAAACGGACTGAACCCTCCCGGCTATCGGCTCACACGTCCTATGCAGAACGGTGGCATCTATAACTGCTCCAGGGACAGCATAGTACTCATGTCCTTCTTTATCCCCACTGAGGGGTATCAACCAGCCAGTGCCGTCTGCCTCTGCAGATGCTGGGACAAATATTTGTCGGAGAGAAACAAAAGGAAGGAGCTCAGGGGAAGAGGGTCCCATTGCACGTGACGGGAAGGCACTGAGAAACCAACACCCAGGGGCTGGGAAAAGAAGACAAGGAGCAGAAGGATGTGCTGGAAGCAGTCGGGGGCCGGGAGGTTGTGCAGCAAACGGCTCAGGTGGCAACCAGGCTCTCTGGAGCTGGGGGAGGGAGCCCGTCCCTCCAGCATGGGCACTGGGAGGTATTTCGGGGCTGGAGTCTCCTTGCAGTACTTCTGCGCTCTGGGGCTTGTCATGGCATTGGCAAGCGGGGAGCAGCCCATCTCCCCCATCACTGCTATAGTGTCCCATAAAGAAACAGGGAGAAACTTGGGGAGACATCACGCCATGAGACCGAGTACACAGGAGCCCGACTGAGTCATCATACACAGAGTGAAGTTCCCCAGTAAATACCCTGGAGCGAATATTGTCCCCAAGAAAGGAAGGAAATCACAGATGGCACCGAGACAGGAACCTCAGGGACCGAAGCCAGCTCCCGGACGCGGCGTCGTGAGAGTTGGGCTTGAGTCCCAGCCTAACCTGGGGTCCTCGTCCAGGTCTGACCTGTATGACAAGCCCTGCTGCTACCGTGAGCTGGACCTTCCCTGCCTCCCCTACAACGGACTGCACTCTTTTGGATCTGGATCTAACAGACAACCCCAAAAGCTGCCTTTGCAATATCGTTGGCGATGGATCCCTTTCCTGTGCCAGCGTTCACAGAAATGCTGTACGAGAGGCACGCAAAACGCTGCCGACCCCGGCTCCAGATGCCGTCTCCTGCTGACCCGGGACTGGAGCTGCGTCTGTCTGCTGGACATCAGAAGGAAATGGTTTCTAAATGACGTGCAGCCGTCAGATGTTTTTGTTATCCTTTCGCTTGGCTTGAAAAGGCCTGATTTACCAGAAAAGCCAGCCAGGTCTACAACTTATTCAGCAACTTTCCCCCAAACCTTGTGATTCTTTCTGCTTCCTCAGAGGGCCATTTCCCAGAGGGAGCCCCTGCACCGGGGAGATGAAAGGAGTGAGATGGGCTTCAGGCAGCCAACTTAGATGACATCAGTCTTCCAGCCCAAGGATCCTGACCTGGTCCAGCAGCAGAGAGGAACAGATATGGAGACAGAAAGAGAGACCGGCCGCACCATGGGTGTGTGTTGGCATGGATGGGGGGAATGCCAGACAGACAGATGTCTTCATATATCTTAGCTGAGCAGTAAAGGCAACACCACAAAAAACCAAAGATCCACAAAAAACAATGGATTTTGTTTCACAACTCATCTGTACCAAGGTGTATTGTTAATAGGGCCACCTGTTTTAAAGCCAAAACTGGATTGTGATGATCCTCTAGTCTGACTTATATAACCGAGGTCCCGAGGGCCCCACTCCAAACTCTCTGCAGCAAGCTGGCCTTGCTGGTCAGGCTGTTTTAGAAAAGCAGCCATCAAACTTTATAAGATTGTGTCTTATAAAGTCCAACATGTGAGTGTGGTGATGCACCACAGCCGGCTGACCACCTCCTCGCGTGTGCAGCACACCCGCACACCCAGGATGAGCACCTGGCAAGTGTCAATGATAAAGCAGTTGTGTGGCTCCGTCGCATTCATGATGTGTAGCAGGAGAATGAAGTATATGAGAGAAGAAGACATCTAAGGGTGGTTCAGGCTGGCATATCTGGGACCAGACTGTGATCCCTCTTGAATGGGTTGGGTAGCGCCTTCTTCCAAGAGCACCCTTTGATGTTAGCAGGATTACCGACTCATAGAAAAGGAGGGTTGGGAGGGAGCTCAGGAGGTCACATCCAGTCCAGCCCCCTGCTCCAAGCAGGACCAACCCCGACTACATCATCCCAGGCAAGGCTTTGTCTACCTGGGTCTTCAACAACTCCAAGGATGGAGACTGCACCATGTCTCTGGGTAACCTGCTCCAGTGCTTCATCACCCTCCTAGTGAGAGAGTTATCCCTAATATCCAACCTCAACTTCCCTTGCTGCAACATGAGCCCATTGCTCCTTGTCCTGTCATCTGCCCCTGCTGAGACCAGCCTGGCTCCATCCTCTTTGAACCCCCCTGCAGGGAGGTGAAGGCTGCTATTCAATCTCCCTCGGTCTTCTCTTCTGCAGACTCAACCAGCCCACTTCCCTCAACCTCTCCGCACAAGTCACATCCCCCAGCCCCCAAACCACTGGGTATCACTCCTGGGAGACACCACTCATGGGGAGGGCACCAGCATCCAGGCCTCCAGTTGACCAGCCGAACCCCGCTGCGATTGTCATCCTCCACATCTGCCCACAGAGGAGCAGTGCCCGCAGGCGCTGGGGGCCGCTTGGTGCCCCTGGCTGCCCCCTCTACCTGGAGCTGGCTGCTTGCAAGAAGGGGAGATGCTTCCCACGTGGGGCTGGAGGGTGGCAACGTTTTGCTGACTGCAGCGACCTCTCCCTTGTTTATCTGCTCTGGCCGGGGCACAAGCCGCACATGCAGACACTGGTTTTTTCCCATCCCAGAGGAAATGCTTCAGATTGCCAGTCTCTTCCCAACACAGCTGGCCCAGTCTGCTCTGCCTTGGGGCGGGGAAGATGGGTGGAGGAGAAGCTGTCTGTGTTTGGTTTTCATTTGTATGGCTCCTTTCTAGGGGACGGAGAGCTCAGTCTTATTCAGAGCCAGGTCTGGCTGTCAGAAAGGTGGGTTTGCTCGTCTCTCGCACACGCGCACAGACACAGACGCACGGCGCCAAGCTCCGGGCTGCATTCAAAAGCCACATGGAGCCCATCAAATGCTGGCAGGTTTGATGTCCTCGAATCAAACCCAAATAATTAGCGTCAGACACTCGCAGGGAGAGATAGGAAACGGCTCAGGAAGTGGGAGCTGCGGTGACTCGCCGGGCTTGCCAACGCTGGCGGGGTGTTACGGCGAGGCTCGTGATAGTCGCTGTTCTTCCCAGAGCCCCGGTGCCACAAGCCGAGTGGGGATCGCAGCCTCCCTGCCCCAAAGACCCTGCTCCTAGGCCTGCGCCGCGCAAGGAAGGGGCTGAAACCTTGCCCCAAGTGCCAGACACCCCATAGAAAAGCCCCTGAGTTCATTATGTTTAAAAACATCACAGTGGTGTGGGGCATGGGTCGCGCATTGAAGACGACAGCCCTTGACCCCCGGTAGGTCTTACATTGCTGCCCCCCTTCCAGCTGCCCCGCAACCCGAGCATCGCTCCTCCGAGCACGGGCCGGCAAGCCACTAGGTCGCTCTTCTCCCAGCTAGTTTTGCACGGAGCGAAGCTCCGCCAGGTTGTTTCTTGGGGATTTCCATTGCCGGCTCAGTGCTTTCATAATCCGTCCTGCTGCTGTCTCCCATCTGGGAGCCAGGGCTGCCAGCGCACGGGACACCGTCCCCGCTCCAGCCGGGAGAAATGAGGCAAGGAGGAGGCATCAGAGGTTGTGACACCCTTTGCTTCTCCTTTGCCCCAGCTCTCCCCATCAAGCAAGGTCCTCATTGGGAAACCACCCTGGAGCCTCCCTACCTATTCACGTGCCTCCTGCCGCCTTGAGCTCGGGGGCCGGTGCCAGGGCGAGAGCAGGATTCAACCCACGGCGGTCTCGGACCTCCCCGCACCTCCAGCAAGCTTCCCTCTTTTCCCAGTCCCCCCAGAGCAGCGCGAGGCTGCCTCCAGGCCTCGGGGAGGGAAGGAAAATCGTTAGTAGCCTGTTAGGGGATTTTTTTTTTGAGCTGAACTGTTTATTATTCTGAAAGAGGAATTTGGCTGGGAGAGGAGATGGGAGGTCACTTGGCTCCAGGATGCAGCTCCGGCTGGATTGGAAATGCAGGCACTTGGCGGCCTCTATACAAGCCAGCTGACAATGTGCCTTTGAGCGAGCGAGGGGCTCAGCTCGGTGCGGGGCCGTGCAGGAGCAGCAGCTTTCTCCGGGGCTGCTGGTTCCCTCCCGCAGGGCTGTAGTCTACCCTACAGCAGTGTTTCTCAACCTTTTAAGTAGCAAATACCCCCTAACTTCTGAAAATGTTAATAAGCACCCCAACACTCAATTTTCCAGGGGATTTTATATTTACACACTAATGCGTGCTATATGTTGGAAGAAGGGCTGTGTATACAAGGCCGTGATATGACAGATGTCTGATCTGGAGTGGGTAGGGTTGCCACCTTTTACACCAGGGGTGCAC